TAAATGGCGTGGCAGCCTTCCCATCAGTGTCTCTATCATTATACAGTACTCTTTCATCATTGCTGATCCTAGCAGTATGTAAAACGTGTGTCACATATGAACTTAGTAAATGGCGTGGCAGCCTTCCCATCGGTGTCTCTATCATTATACAGTTCTCTTTCATCATTGCTGATCCTAGCAGTATGTAAAACGTGTGTCAGATATGAACCTAGTAAATGGCTTGGTAACCTTCCCATCAGTGTCTCTATCATTATACAGTACTCTTTCATCATTGCTGATCCTAGCGGTTTGTAAGACGTGTGTCATATATAAATCTAGTAAATTGTTTTGCAGCCAACACTGCCAATCCTAGCAACAGAGATAGAATCTTTATTGATACTCGCTTGCAATATATAGCACCCTCGTGCTAGTTTTAGCGAGCAAAAAGTACTAAAGCTACAAAATGCCTAAAATACTGAACACTTAAAAAAAAAATGAAATTGAACGTAAGAAAGATATAATAATGACCTCATACCAGCAAAGTCAATTTTGAATATTATGTTTTTGAAAGAACTAAGATCCTGAGATAATCTTATATTATCTTTGAGGGAATTCCAGAAGTTAGGCCCTAAATATCTGACCCATGTTAGTCCATATGATGTTGTATTACACTTGGGAATAGACAAAATATGAAACGCTCCAAGATCATATGGTGTGGCACGTAAAAAGACGACATCCTTAATATACACTATACCGGGGGGAAGCTACTTCCCATACATTCTCTTAAATGAAATCCAAACGATGTTCTCACAACTTGCAAAGCGATCAGCAAGGATCTTGCCAGCGGATTTGTGTACTGATCATGCGCATTACGTCAAAAACCATAGATCAACGGTCTTGAGAAAAAACAAAAACATGGCAGTCGAAGTCGGCACTGTTTCTCACTATTATATTTTGGTAATTCGCAAATTTATTGATTTTATGTCGCTTTTCAGACACAGTGTGTGGTTTTCTTTTTCTGTTAAACAATTTCCCTTTGCAGAGTTGGAATATGCAACATATAGCTCCGTATAGCTGCTAAGATCAGAACCGCCGAAGAGTTGAGCTATCGAGCAGTGTTTGGCTGCAAACCTTAGGAAAGTTAAAGTCGCTTCAAGGTACAGAGCTTTCAGTAGTAGTTGTGATTTGTTTTAGTATCGTTTTGAATTTTAACTTTGGATTCAGGGTGTTGACTTATCGAAATAAACGAAGTGAAATGTTATGAAGTGTTAATTTTTATTCAGTTATGATATGTAGAGCAGTAAGCTTATTTTCATGAGGCTCTCTTGAATATACTTGCTTCCGATAAATTTGACACTTGCTCCAGTAATTTTTTATATCAGCATCAAGTTATCCTTGCCCGGCAAAAACGATGTAACCTATAAATAAATCCATCGAGCGCGTTGTTGTTGGTTAAGATCTAGCACGGTTGCGTTTTAGTTTCCCCTGCATTTCAGTACCGAAAGACAAGTACGATATGCAAGAAAAACAAAGATGCATGATATGATTTTTTTCAATTTTTTAAGCATGGCGGTTCGCTTCTTGCTTCTAAAAAGTCTAAAAATATTTACTGTGGGAAAAATACTGTAATTATCCGCTGACCACCACGCTGGGTGACCGCTTTGCAAGTTGTGAGAACATCGTTTCTCGGTCCCAGACCTCGTCTCTCCCCCCCCCCCCTGCACTATACACTAGTAAGACAATATATAACACACGCCACTCAAACGTTCACTCTCGACTGCGACTGTACTCGGTTATCCCCTCCCAGCTCCCTCCCCCACCCCACCTTCAGCGATGAAAGTTTGCAGCCGAAATTTCTTCCGATTTTCATCGTAGTATTGAAACGTGGCGGGTTTAGACAGCAGCACATTCTTACAAAGATAGCTTGGTGAGTCGAGGGCAAGTCACTAGTATGTAAAACTCAACTGGTTTGGTAAAATGCCCGGTGTATGATCAGGCGGGTGCAGTATGAAATGAGTGACACGTGTGATTTGTCAGTAATATTCTTTCACCCACGTTAATTTGTACATATATGTATTAGCCTTACATACGCAGTTTCATAGACCTAAAACCGAGGGGATAATATTGTGTAGATACTAAGATGCAAACATTGGAATCGTGAACTGATTTCTTTGAGGTTTATTTCATATCCTATTGGACAGTACGTTACTACAGTACCTTCGCACACTTTTAGTCAAGTGTGTAGTTAACGTTAAATGTGGTACTTGCTCTGTCAGTTAAGTGTTTACTGTTATGGGATGGCAGAGATGTTTGTTGACTTGTAAGGGCACCGCAAGAAGCAGTTTAATATGCTATGTGTACTGACATCCTCTCTCTTTGCTAAATGGTGATACATGTGTAAGCAAGTTCCTAACCCCTTTCTTTGGCATGTCCTGTTATGTAATGGCTATAATTACAGTAAAAGCAGCCTTTACACATTCAAAGTAGACAGACTTCAATCATCTTAGTTGCTAAAAAATATATATCTACGTGTCGCAACTGTTCATCAGTAGGATGCCTAAAATGCGTGCAATTCTACAATTGGTTTCGGCTCCATTAAATCCTATACCAATTGCAGAACATTTTAGGAGGAGCCACCCACCATGTGAGCACAGTCACGGACAATGTATAAGTGAGGAAAATAACGCAAAGTAAAATTAGTATAGGTAATAGCACGATTTGTAGTGATATTTGGCATAAATACCACGAGTGATATTTCAAAATTGCTATTCGAAATTTCACGAGCCTTTAGCCTTTAATGTACACGTCAATTAAATAAATAAACAAATAATGCGCGCCCTCAAAATAAAAGTGTACGCGCACACGTACCGAGATGCAACTGAAATACAACACTATGTAATAAATAAGTAATGTAAGGATACGATGGTGCAATTCAAGCCTGGATTGCTAATCTCATCTCCCGCAGGGCTGCACCATACTTCTCGACTATAAGACTATGGCGACTGAAGAATTTATTAAATGATTTCTGAAGTAGATTGGTTTCAAAGCCTTGCTGTCTGAGTCGTAATGAAAGTCCACGGAGTCTATTGATGAAGTCAACTTTGGACGTGCAAATTCTAGCATATCTCACCAGTTGAGATATATAAACACCGTAAGCTGGATTGGCGGGATTATTCCTTTCATATACTTCTTTGTACTTGTATGAAATTTCATATACTGTTCACTTTCATACATATCTTCACCTCCGAGGGGTAATCATCATGCTAGAAGTGTTACGTACTCTTTCTTTGAAGTGAGTAGTTATAAGTGTCCAAGTACCTTGCATATAAGAACTGTAGTGGGTCCCGAATACATAGTAATACAGATAAGTTCAGCGACTTTAAGGAAACTGATTTATAAGGACTGTGTAACTAACAGTATGATGCTTTTGTATATTCTTATTTGCTAAATGGTGATACAAGTGTTCTGATACTTTAAATTCCTGATACTTGACGCCCTTCTTTATTTTGTTCGCATACTTCATTGTATATTGACTGGTTCGACCTGAAAAAGGGGTCGTACAACGCTATTTCATTGCTACCAGATTGACATGTTTAACACTGCGTGTGTGCATACACAATGGTGATGGTGGCTATAAGCCATCAAGAGTCCACTCTACCAGGGTACTACCTGCATTTGGTCTATAGCCCTGCTTCCCGGAACGCTATGGTACAATCTTACAAGCGAATAGCCCCCCACGCAAGCGCTTTTAGGGAAGGGAGGAAATACGACTCCACAGGAAACGCCCGCGTGGAATACTAACAGGCGAAGGCCGCTTTCGATAAATGAGAGGACAATTACCTTATCAACAGAAACAGTTGTTGAGAGATTGAGAGAAATAGTTGTTGCCTATCAGAAAAATACATAAACTTTTTTTTTTAAAGTATTTATTCACAACTGCATTGACAAGCCTAACAAAACTGATCACAGGTAAATTCATATGTAGTGTTATTTCTATAACAAAAAAAAGTTGTATAATTAAAACAACAAAAACACAGTAAATAAATGACGTTGATAACTTCAGTACGCTTTAAGCAAAAGAACACCTTTTCCGCGTTTGCATTGCCTGATATAAAAACGAGAGGGTTTGGGAGAATTCAAGACAGTTATGCAAACCCGGGACAAAGTCGAGGGTTTGCATAACGGTCTCCTGATATATACACCTCGAGTGTGTTTATCAGTCTATGCAAACAGAGGAAAAAAAGTTTCCTATTGCTTTTTTAAAATAATTTCCCCGAGAAGAAAAGCAAAGCTGTTTGTTTCAGGCACTGATTAAAAGAGAAATATTATATTATTCTTATCAGTCGCCAATGTTGTACACGACGATTTATACGCGAAATCAGTTCTTGCTTTGCAAAAAAGATACTTTCCAAAATGCGAACTTTTCTCGCTTAAATTGGCAGATCAAGCGAAAAAAAAATTGACAGAGCAAGTTTGTAAAGATTTTCCAAGTTTCAGGCGACGAGGAAATGGATAAAGTAAACTTGTTGAGTTTTCAACTCAAAATCCTTTTCAAATTCGTGCTTGCAAGATTAGCGCGCAAAAAGCAAAACACTTTGACGTCACAACTGTGTTTACATACTCTCATGCAAACACTCCTCTCGGCCAATCAGATCGCGCTAACTAACTTAGTCATTTTATAATTTTCAATCTATATTTGAAATCTCAAAGTCAAACTCCTAATTTACCTGTAACCCACAGATAAAAACCTGTATGATGTTACTTGGCTAAACATGTTCTTGTATTTTGGGGTATTAAAGTGGTAAATTTCTTCCAGGACTTTCTTAACCCACCAGGTTCTTAAACGCGGGTTTTACTGTATCTGTGTAGGTGAATATTTAAGAGATCTACCGATCCTAAGGGCTTAGATATTCTTCCATGTTCATTCCTAAGGGCTGTCGTCTCGAGGGATTTATACGAATTAAGGATTTATAATTTTTATTTCATTGTTATCATTATTATTGTCTTTATTTTCCTCAGAGATTGTTATATATGGGCAACAAAGAAAAACTGAAGAACAACTAAGAAGGACAGAGGAGCGAGAAAAAGGCAAGCAAGTGAGGGAGAACGATAAGCAACCGATGAGAACAGCAGAGCAACTGAGAGTGAAAGATGAGCAGCTTAAACTAAACGAGAAGCAACTGCGAGAAAAAGGCAAGCTAGTGATGGAGAAAGATAAGCAATTGAGGGAGAAAGATGAGCAACTGAGGAGAAAAGAAGGGCAACTGAGAGAGAAAGATGGGCAACTTAAAGTGAAGGAGGGAGAGTTGAAAGATTTAAGGGATCAACTACAAGACTTCGTTGTTGTCCAAAACAAGCTTTCCGCAGCTAAAAAACAGTTAACTAAATATGAAAGTCAGTCTGGCTCACCTGACTGGGTCCTTTGCCGAGATGAAGTTCATTCTAATTGGGATGAGTTTCTGGGGGAGGGGTCGTTTGGAAAAGTTTTCAAAGGCAAATACTGTGGCTGTGTGGTAGCTATAAAAAAGCTTCACTTTTCGACTCTTACTGAAAAACAGCGCGATGGGTTTGAACGGGAAATGAAGATAGCCTCAAGATGCCGTCATCCATGTTTGTTGCAATTCATTGGGGCCACCCAAGACGAAAGTCCCTTGTTTGTTACAGAACTCATGGAGACAAGTTTACAAAAGTTGTTAAAAAAGCGGAAGCAAGAGAAGCAACATCTCACCGAAACAGAAATTATCGTTATATGTTTGGATGTTGCCAGAGCCCTAAACTACCTTCACCGACGACAACCTCCAATTGTACATCGTGATGTGAGTAGTGCTAATGTGTTGCTGTGGAAACAGAATAACCAGTGGAGAGGCAAACTGGGAGATTATGGAACTGCTAAATTTCTTCAGGATACCATGACAGCTCATCCCGGAACTCAGATTTATGAGGCGCCTGAAATTCGTTATCCTTCGGGGCAAACAGTGGCGGTGAGTCTGTTCTATGGAATTTAATTGTAAAGTAAAGGGTAATGACTTTCCTTTAAAAAAAAACACAGTATAGTTTGAACAATTGTCTGAACATGAACAACGCTAACTACCGGTATCTTTTGCAGCTTCTCCGTTAGTTATTTAAGCTATATACAACTAAGAATTACGTCACTGCTTTTAATAAACGCTTGCATGGAGGTGAGCTCCCAAAATGATCAAACCGTAATTCCTCTATTAAGCCTTTTGGGGGCTTATTTATTTCAAGCACGTTTGAGTGGGTGCGCTTAATAGAAAGGGGAGGGGGGGGGGGCTTATTTTATGTAGCGAAGATGATGGTATGAACTCTCCATAAAGGAGTAGAACGCAAAGTAGAAAAGCTCAGGCAAATGAAGTTGGACGTCTTGCAGGGGAAGACTACAGAGGAACCTCTACTTGGTCCCGTGGGTGTCGCCTGAATAGAGGTTCCACTGTAAAAACAAATCCGAACTTCCAGAAGGTGAATAAACCATACCGGATAAGTCCACATGAAGTGTTACAATGGTAATCAATTAATACAGTCTACCATCTAAGAATATTGGGAGGGAAGGGGAGGGGAGGGGGGGGGGGCTTAATAACTTTCTTCTCCCAAAAAGGAGGCTCATTAGAGTGGGGCTTCATAGAGGATTCACGGTACATGTATGTACCGCTTCTAAGGACATCTCTATTTGTTCCAATCATTTTTCTGTAAAATTATATTGATAGACTGGTAATCCGTTAATGTGGTTATCTTAGAAAACCGCAGAAAATGAAACCTGGCAGTATCTAGACATTGACTGAAATTTAGCAGCTTTTGCCTCCATCACAGAGGCTTTAGGAAAGTTAAACTTCACTGCAACTGTTCTTAGTGGAGTATTTGCAGCCAGCGTCGCATACGTAATTTCCTTGGTCGGTAACGTTTTACGGAGCCGAGCCGATATCCTTGTTCTGGGCTCCCAGCGGACTCAACCAATTACCGGAAGTGCGTTTCGAATTTCCTTTCAATATGGTTGGCAAATCGATAGTGGCATTTTCAACAGGTTAATCATGTCGCGTACTCAAATCCAGGTACACAGGTGGGGGCCCAGAACAAGGATTTTGGCGTTGTTTCACAGGCGGACTTGACAAAAGTTTAGTTTCGTCTGTGCTAATTATTGGCTGTTTGCAGTTTCCTGGGAGAAGTATATTTTGAGGCTGTCGGCTTAGCTACATTGTCAGGCTTCTACCCACAACAGAGATAGTGAAAATGTGAATTAACGTTTCATTTTCTATTGTAGCGTAACAGGAACACAGGAAGAAAATTTCTGCCTTGGTAAAAACGTGATCATCCAGGGTGAAGATATACTTTAATTCAAGTATTTTGTTTTGTTGGTTTAGATTGATGTTTTCAGTTTTGGAGTCCTCTTCTGTGAAATGTGTACCGGGGAACCACCAGAACCTGAAAATCGCGAGGATATAGTGAGACAGTTAACTAACAAGAACTTTGGAGAGCTGATACTGTGGTGTATTGAACATGATGCAAAAATGAGACCCAGCATGGGAGATATCATTGAGAACCTGGAGCAGTTAAATCATACGTCTTAATCGTGACAATAGGTACGTGACGTGACGTTACCGTTGTCACGATTTCGTAAGGGCCCTATTACTTTATAAGATCGGAATTGCTTGATTAATGGTTATTGTATAAGCTAGCCGTATTTTTTCCTGTTCTGTCTGTGAATACAGCCGAATTTGCGACACTACTTCTAGTTTCTCCGCGAAATGACAACTGAGGAACGAGCGCAGAAATGTCATACTGCTGACGTGTCACTACCCATATCTGGGTAGTAATTCTGATTGGTCGTGCGGCAAGGGAAATTCGCTTCAACCATTCAGAAGCAGTAGTCAGTTATGGGTAGTGACACGTGATCAGCATGGAATTTCTGCGCTCTTCCCTCAGACATCATTTCGCGGGGAAACCATGCACTGATGGCGTCCCCAAATGTCTGCTTTTTCTCCGGATATGTACGGATCTACAGTGTACGGGATAGATATTTATAGTTTGAAATACAATTTACATTACTAAAAGCATTCGTTTCTAAGAATTAAGAATTTAAGTGACGAGTTAAATATACGATTGGCCATTTTACACTTTTTTTTTCTGTTATGTTCGCGATGCTCCCGGCTTTGCATAGAAACATTGATGGAGGCGACTTTGTTTCTTTACATACCTTCCTGCCTTTTACGCG